ATGAGATAGTATCTCATAATTATGACTTAGCTAGCTATCTCATAATTATGAGATAGTATCTCATAATTATGACTTAGCTAGCTATCTCATAATTAAGAGATAGTATCTCATAATTATGACTTAGCTAGCTATCTCATAATTAAGACTTAGCTATCTCATAATTATGACTTAGCTATCTCATAATTAAGACTTAGCTACCTCATAATTATGACTTAGCTATCTCATAATTATGAGACAGTATCTCATAATTATGACTTAGCTATCTCATAATTATAAGATACTGTCTCATAATTATGAGATAGCTAGCTAAGTCATAATAATGAGATAGTTGTCATAATTATGAGATAGTTAAGTCATAATTATGAGATACAAGTTTTATTTTTTTTATCAGGGTGGCGGAAATGGGCTTCCACAGACTTTAAATGGGTTATTGCAAATATTTTAAAACACAGATCCTGTATAATCAGTTGGCGCTCAGATTATATGTTGAGGATCAGCCTCAGCTACCATCACACACAATTTTAGGTCAATAAAAATAAAAAATGATGGCGTTAAAGCCATATTATTTGTGTATTTTATGATAGCTGATCAAGTAATACGTTGTAGGTGTATGTCTAATGAGTTTCAGCTAAATTTATTCAGTGGTTTTCAAGCTGTTTTTGTTACAAACAGTTTAAAAAGAAACAATCAGTTTGCACTGATGTTATGTAAATATTTGACCATCCTCCAGGAAATCCTGGAAACCAGTGAGATTCCTCCTCCTATGACACAGACGAATGGTTTCTAAATTTATAATAATTCCGAAACAAAAACCACAGCAACAATGACTGGAGCTGTATAAAAAAAGATATAATCACCACTCCCAAAAAGGTCAAACAGGGAAGAAATGAGCCGCAAGTGTTTTATGTGGCGCAATTTTCCTGTTCCTTCAGCACCGCCTCCTTCTACCGAAACTGACTTATTTATTAGAGGAGACTCACCTGTCGGCCTCACGGACACACAGGACACTGGACCGGTTTGGACACAAAACCTTCCCGCACAAAGCTCGTCGCTTCTTCTTCAGAATCTCTGGACTTTTTGAACTTTGAGACGTTCACGACCCTCGACGACTGTAGGTAATCAGCGCTTCCGCGTTTCCCCCATTTATTACCTCCAACATGGATTCTGAACTTGTTTTACAAGTTTCTGAAACTAAAGTTACTTAGAGTGGTTTTTGTTTTTTCAGAGGTGAGGCAGAGTCTGGCAAAATCAGATTTACAAACATTTATTAATAGTTCTATTAAAACTTCTGTGCTGTAGAAATGGTAAATTTTAAAAAACGAGGAGAGTGTGAAGGAGCTGAGGAGTAAATGAATGAATAAAAAAAATAAATAAATAAAAGAGCAAGATTGGAGATGTGGACCAGGAAGTAAAAACAAATCATTGAGGATGAAGTTTGGAAAGCTTTAAAGGGGACATATCATGCAACATCCACTTTTTTACCCATTAAATGCATTTTGTTGGAGTCTAGGATTGCAGAAAAGTTTAATTTAGTTTCCCCAGTGCTTCAAAGATATCTTTATATTCTGTTTGGATTATGGTTTTCAACATGTTGAGTTTTTTATTTTATTCTCTATGACGTTTTCTGAACTAATTTAGAGAATTTGCGACATAATTGCCAAAAAAAAAAAAAAAAAAAAAAAAAAAAAAGGTCTGGAACAATAATTACATTTGACTCTGGGCCAGACCTCGGCTGGACGAAGTCTTTCATTGTTAACGTCTTTTAAATTCTTTGTAAATAAAAACCCCTTTAAACTCCTCTGTAAGCTGGAAGGGGGGTACCTCATTTGGACTTAAAGAAACAGCCTCAAAACGAGTTGTCCTGATGCATCTCAGTAATCCAGGTAAAAAAATCAAAAAGAAAAAAATTGTATAGGTCTTCTGGACGGGTTCTTCTTTAATGAAACGTTTCGTCTCTCCTCCAAGAGACTTCTTCAGTCTGAGAGTTTCAGGCAAAATTCAGGCTTTTAACATGTGACATGTGTTAATAAAAAACCAAACTGGATTTTTGGTCAATTTTGTAACTTTTTCCAAATTATACATATAAATTGTTTGCATATTTGCTGCTCAGTCAAGGTC